GTTGATGTAGTTGCTATGTCTTTAGATGTTAGATCTGTAGCTCTGATGTCGCTGATAGGTTGGGAGGGAAGACTTGATTGGAAAATCCGGCTTCGGATTCTTTGGTGAAACCATCCCAGTTAGTTTTCGCAAAATTTATGAATCTGATTTTTGGGGGGTTAATATTTTGAATTGTTGTTTGTAAGCTGATGTGAATGGGTAGATGATCTGATGAGAGTGAGGTCATCATTAATTGTAATTGATAAATACATATTGAAATTAACTTTTGTTTATTAATGATTTGAAGTCACACATTGTTTGAAAATTTTTTTTGGTAAATGTTTATTTATTTATTTACATTACATGCAGATTGCAAACCAGTGAGTCCTGTACCTTCGTTTTCTAAAGAAAGCAAACCTCAGCAAATAAATAGTGACATTTGTATGATTACCTGGAAAATAATCAAAATTTGTTGGATCATGTGTTAGCTGATGAACTCAACAGTTACTTGGCTAACCCATCTAAGAATATTGAAAGTTTATTTTCTTATCCATCAGTATGTGCAAATTTCGTTAAACTAAATTCAACATTATTTAGCTCTGCAGTGGTTGTGCATCTTTTCAGTGTTGCTGGACATATTCTAACTGATAAACGCTGTAAATTGTCTGATGATCATACCTATAAAATGATTTTTTGCTAAAACACACATTTTAGAAAACATTCATTAAAAAAATATATATGTGTTGGTTAATAAATTTACAAATTTTTCAGAAGGGTTCAATATATATGTGTTGGTTAATAAATTTACAAATTTTTCAGAAGGGTTTTTTAATAATAATAATAATGAAAAGTAGTTAAAAAGTATTTAAAATGTAGTTAACTATTATGAAGTAACTTAATTTAAAGTAATTTAACTAATTTAAATCGATACCAAATTGTAATATTAATGATTTTAAAAATTATGGTCATATTAGTGGAAGTGATAGTGGTAAAGATGGTGGTGGCAATTTTAACATAAAAGATGATACTTTTAATTTAAATAATAATTATAATTTTGGTGGGGTGAACATTTTGGTGATGGCAGCTTGACGCTTGGGGTTATTGGTAACGATTATTTGGATTCTTCTCTCGACGGTAACAAATGCTTAATGACGAAAGGCACTGGCAATTACTTAAATGGTAATGTTAATATTGGTTGTTGTAATGATGGTCATGGTCTTGATGGTGATGATTATTCGATGGTTTGTGGTATTGGAAGCGATCTGAAAGTTATTGGTAAAAATGGTTGTGGTAAAGATGATAGTAGTGATTGCGTAATAACGAATGGTACCGGTAATGATAGTAACGAAAGTGGTGATTTTAATGATCGTAAAAAGGTAGGTAATAACAATGTAATGAAAGGTGGTGCTGTTGGTAGAAATATTGGTGGAATTGAAAATGATCGGACCAATAATAATTTTTGTGTGGTTAAAATAAAATTGGGTTTACTAAATATAAGATCAATTGGCTCAAAGTACAACACCATTTATGATTTGATCAGTGATGGTTTGGATATTTTTGATGGTTTGGATTTTCTGATTGGACATCAGAAAATCCCTTCATTGCGTTATCCACTCCTCCTGGTTACCGCTTTGTAGATTGTGTAAGAGATCACGACCCTCTCCATGGTGGATTGATAATATTTTTTTCGTCTATGTTTAAAATGTAAAAAAATAGCCTTACCTACAGTTGAAGTTTTGGCGGTCAGGTTTACAGTTAATAGCCAGGAGTTTATCTTGCTCGCTATTTACAGACCGGGTTCTGCACAGCTGTCTGGATTGTTTTTTAAAGAACTGATTTTTATTCTGGAAAACATTACAGTACTCAGTTCTCGAATTATTTTAACCGGGGACTTTAATGTTCACGTTGAAAAGACGAATGATCCTTATGTTGCTAATTTAAATGATATCTTCGATAATTTTCAACTCATCAATCGTGTCAAGGCACCAACAAATCTACGTGGTGGTACACTAGACTTGATAGTGACCTCCGAGGATTTTCCAGTTCATGATTGTTTAGTCCATCCAAGTGGAACTTATTCTGATCATTGTTTTATTTAGGCTGAACTGTCGATGACTCGAGAATATTTGGTTGGAATTAAAGAAGTTCCTAAAATGTGGAATCAGATAAATGTTGATGACTTCATCAAACTCGTGCTTGAATCTCCACTCTCCAAATCATGTCAAGGCAATGAGGTAAACAGGGAATTGCATTTATTTAATAACGAGTTAAAATCTATTGCTGATAAAGTTGTCCCTATTCGTGCAATGACCACCAATAACGTTTGTATGGCTCCGTGGTTTGATAATGATTGCAGGTTGGCCAAGCGTTTGTGCAGAAAAATGGAAAGAAGATACAGAAAAAGTTCACAGTTGATTCATCAAGATGAATGGAAAACTGCTTTAATCGGAACTTTTCTCTAAAAAACGTCGTCAGTATTGGAAAAAATTGTTGATGACAATAAGATGAAACCAAAAAATCTTTGGCGGGTTGTGAACAGCATTCTCTGTAGGGGTCGTAACGATAAATCCTGCTCGGATATGGATGAAATAACATTCGATCGATTTATGTGCTATTTTAATGAAAAGTTAAGCAAGCTGAGAGATGGTGTTCAACAGCGATGCTCAACCGAACCTGGCAAAATTCCAATCAGGCGTCAATAATAGTTTGTTCTCAACGTTTTTTATGGTTTCTGAAGAGGAGGTAATACAGTTAGTTCAAAATTCACTTACAAAGTCGTGTCAACAAGATGTAATACCTACCCACGTTTTAAAGAAGTTTATAAAACTAATTGCACCATTTTTGGCAGGCCTGGTAAACAGCAGTTTGAATGTGGGACAGTTTCCCTCCGGCTGCAAGCATGCTATCATAACTCCGCTGCTGAAGAAACATAATCTGGATGAAAATAATGTGGGGAATACAGACCAATTTCTAATCTGCTTTCCTATCCAAAATTATTGAACGTGTGGTTGCCAGGCAAACACTCAGTTACTTGAACAATAACAATTTAATGCCGAAATTTTAATCTGGATTCCGTCAGTACCATTCGACTTAAACTGCCCTTTTGCAAGTTTTCTCAGAAGTGTACGGGGCAATTGATGAACAAAATGTGGCAATGCTAGTCTTTCTTGATATGTCATCCGCATTTGGTTGCGTAGATCACAAAGTACTTTTAACAAGACTACGTTGCAGTTTTTGAATCTCTGGTGCTGTTCTGAGGTGGTTTGAGTCGTATTTGGTAGGTAGGTTACAACAGGTATCATTCGGTGGTAAATTGTCTGAGGTTAATGTTATGTTGTCTGGTGTGCCACAAGGTTCGGTTCTAGGTCCTATTCTATTCCTGATCTATACATTTGAAGTACTAAAGGTAATAGAATCATTTGGTTTTTCAGGTCATGCTTTTGCGGACGACTTACAAATTATTGTTACGAACAGACCAGATTTTTTTAAATCAGAATTGGACAAACTGGTTAAATGTTTGTCTGGGGTCAATAAGTGGATGCAAAACAATGGTTTAAAACTAAACCGAAACAAGACTGTTTTTTAACCAATAGGAACATGGCAGCAATTTTCAAGATAGATATAAATTCAATAACTGTTAATGATGAGGTCATCCCATTTTTTCAGACAGCAGCTAATCTGGGCTTCACGATTGATTCAGGTTTGTCAATGAGACAACACATTAAGAAGCTCTCAGCCGATTGCATGTTTCAAATCAGAAAAATCAATCAAATTCGACGATCCCTTGATACATCCACATTGCAGACATTGGTTCATGCATTTGTGCACTCACGCGTCGACTATTGCAAAAGTTTGTTTTATGATTTACCTGATCGATCCATGGCTATACTTCAATCAATACAGAATCGAGCCGCAAAAGTTGTTGTTGGAGCTCTAAATTACGACCATGTGTCTCCAATATTGAAGGAACTTCATTGGCTAACCGTCGACAAAAGAGTTTTGTTCAAAATTTCAACACCTGTCTACAAGTCTATCAATGGTCTAGCTCCATCTTATTTGTCTGACAGGTTCAAAAAGAGATCTTCAAAAGCATCTGGAGCACACTTGAGATCCGATGTTTCAAACCTGCTGCTGATCCCAACATCGAGTCTCCGTATAGGCTCTCGTAACATTGCTGTTTCTGAACCAACTGTTTGGAACAACCTGTCTGCTGCTCTCAGAAATCCGAAGAAACTGAAAACTCATTTATTTTCATTGTAATGCATTATTGATCAATTCTTTCTGTTTAGTCGACATGTTCTAAATATTATTTCATTTTTCTTTATATTAAATCGATTACTTTTCTGTTTATGACCAAATTTTAATCTTAATTCTGTACGATGCATTATGATTTTTCGTTTGTTATTTCAATTATGTTGTTAAGTTCAGTTTTTGTTAGATAGCGCTTTTGAGATTCGTTTAATTCGCGCTTCATAAATGTTTCAATAATAATAGTAATAATAATAATAATAATAATACATACATACATACATACATACATACATACATACATACATACATACATACATACATACATACATAAATACATACATACATACATACTATTTTTTGGAACAGCCTACCTATCGAACTACGTATATCCGGGTTATCATTAGCTGAGTTTAGAAAACGTCTAAAGACATACCTATTTGGTAACTCCTAGTGATCTCAACCGATGATGGCTTCGCTTTCAACATGCTTCATACGAGGAGAGCGCTGATGAGAAGCAATTATAATTGGCGCTATATAAATACAATATTTGATTTTATTTTATTTTATTTGATACATACATACATACATACATATATATATATATATCTTTGGTTAATGGCGAACGGTTGTAAACAAATTTTCTCGAAAATTATTTTACGTTGCCGAGTTAAAACGTGTCGTTTTCACTTCAAACCAAAGCTTTTAAGGAAGTTAAAACTCAGAATATAATAATTTAAACTGATTTAAACTGTCTTATTGATTAGTTGATGATGAGTGGGAAGGGTAGATCTACGATAAATGCAAACAGTGATGCCGTACGATGTGATAAAGAGTCAACAGACGTTCAGTGTTTTTGTTGCGGAGTTTCGTTTGTTGTCGGCTTGGCTGAAGAATCCTTAGAACTAGTAAAGGCATGTAGTAATGTCAAATTTGTATGTGACGGGTGTTTAAAGTCACCTTCATTGGAGGACCAGGTCATCAAAAGCGATAAAATTGGAAATGCTGAAATATGTGACAAAATAGACAGCTTAAGCAAAGAGATTAGATTGAAGATAGATGCAATCAAAAAGAAGTTTGAAGAAAATGAAAGCAAAATGACTACATTGGATATCCCTGAATCAAAGCTCTGTAATAAAATTTTACGCCTTAAAAATGAAATGAGCAGATCTTTCGCTAGTGTGGTTAGTTCAGAGTTTAAAAATAGTGTCCAGATTATAAATGATGATGTAAAAAAAAGTACAAAATCGCTAACCGATGTAATGGAATCGAAAGAACGTGAAGCGAACATGATAGTTTTTCGATTGAGTGAAGGAACTGATGACTGAAATAGGGTTTGCAAGATAATAGCTCACCTGACTGATGGTGTTTATGATGGGTCGAACATAGTGAAGCTGTTAAGACTTGATAAGAAAAGTGATAATGTAGTAAGACCAATTTTGATTAAATTTGATGATGTGAGGTAAAAGAACTTATTTTCAAGAACATTGTTAAAATGAGGTCTGTGGGTGATGGTCTGACTCGTGTTGGTCTGAGCCACGATCTGACTGTTGAGCAAAGAACTGAACTTAAAAAATTCTTGGATGATGCCAGGCGGATGGAAAAAATTCAACGGAGAAATTTTAATTTGGGTTTGCTAAATATCAGATCAATTGCACCTAATGTTGATGGAGTTTATGGCCTAATTAGTGATGGGTTGGATGTGCTGGTGTTGACTGAAACGTGGCATGGCTTGGCTGGGAACAACTCTGTCAATATTGCTAAGCCACCGGGTTATTCTTATGTGGACTTTGTCACGCAGCATGATCCTGCTCATGGTGGGTTGATCAAATATTTTCGTGAAGAGTTTAGTTGTAGAAAGTTAGATTTACCTGTATTTGTAACGTTTGAAACTGTCGCCATTAAATTAGTAATCAATAAAAATCAATTTATTCTTCTGGGTGTGTACAGGCCTGGTTCAGCACAAATAACCGTTTTGTTTTTTGAAGAGTTGGCTTCAGTTCTGGAACATATAACTATGTTAAATGCAAATATTTTACTGATGGGCGACTTTAATGTGCATATTGAAAGAATAAATGATCGAAACACCATACGTTTATTTGAAATAATTGATGTATTTCAACTAGTTAACCATATAAATGAGTAAACACATTCAGGAGGGGGAACATTGGATCTAGTTGTTAGCTCCGCTGATTTTCCTATTATTAGTACTACGGTTTTTTTTCATGGAGTTTTCTCTGATCACAGTCTAATATTAATTAAGGCGGCAATTGCTAAACCACGTCGAATAACAGCCAAACGATTCGTTAGATCATGGAAAAAGGTTGATGAAGATAGATTTGTTGAAGCAGTTTTAAATTCTCCACTGTCTGGTTCTTGTCGTAGCAATGATGTTGATGGTGAGATAAAAATTTTCAATGATGAGTTAAAGAGTATCATTGACAGACTGGTGCCTAAAAGGGTGATTCTTGACAGAGGTGAGCGGGTGGCTCCATGGTTTGATGAAGACTGCTTGCGCGCCAAACGATGTTGTAGAAAGATGAAACGATTGTACAGAAAATGTTCAACGGATATAAATAGAAACGAATGGATTACTTCGTTAAAAATTAAAAATGATCTTTTTTCTGACAGGCGTACAAGGTATTGGAATAATTTAATAAAGATAAACAAATTGTAAAAAAAATGTTATCACGAGGTTCAGGACGCGATTTTTCTAGTAATGATATAAAAATAAATGCTCATCAGTTTATGAAATTCTTCACGGACGGGGTTGATCAGATTATTCAAACAACAGATGTTAATTCCATTCCGTTGAATGAGAGATGTAGGTCACCAAATAATTGCTGGTTTTCATCGTTTCCTGTGATTACAGAAGACGAGTTGAAAAGTGTCATATTCAGTTCTCCAACAAAAACAAGCTCACTTGATTTCATGCCGACACATTTCTTTAAAAAATACTTAGATTTGTTTATTTGCTTTCTCACCAGTTTTACTAACCTTTGTTTGAAAGTGGGTAAATTTCCTGTTAGTTTCAAACATGCTGTGGTTCTTCCAATTTTGAAGAAAACAAACTCTGATGTAAATGATGTTAAAAATTATAGACCTATATCAAATCTTTCGTTCATATCAAAGGTTTTCGAGAGGGTTGTTATGAAGAGTCTGCTAGTCTATTTGTCTGTAAATAGTTTGATGCCGATTTATCAGTCAGCATATAGACGATTCCACTCAACTGAGACAGCGTTACTTCAGGTTTTATCAAACTTGTTTTCAACAATGGATGTTCAAAACATTTCATTACTGTCGCTGTTGGATATGTTGTCAGCGTTTGACTGTGTCAACCATGGTATACTTTTGAAGAGGTTGCGGTACAATTACGGATTGAATGACACTGTTTTTACGTCCTACTTTGGGAAACCGGGTCTCTGGACGCAAAACGAAGATTGATTGATTGATTTTTTGCGTGGTTTGAATCATATCTGACGGATCGAACAGAGCAGATCTTGTTCAATAATGTGCTGTCTAATGTTAAAATGGTCATATCAGGGGTACCTCAGGGATCTGTTCTAGGACCTATTCTGTTTATATTGTATGCATCAGATGTATTTAAAATTATCAATTCTTATGGATTTGCCTGCCATGCATTTACGGATGATATTCAAATTTTGGCGACTGGTCATCCTGGTTTTTTCAAGGCTGAGGTTGATAAACTTGCCCAATGCTTAGCGGAGATTGGAAAATGGATGTCATGTAACTCATTTAGACTCATTCAGTGCAAGACTTAGCTGCTTCCGGTTAGCACATGGCAGCAGTTGGTAAAATTAAATGTAAATTCCATTACAGTAAATTATGTTAACATACCGTTCATTCATGCTGCCACCAATTTGGAAGTTTTGCTTGATAGTAGATTATTGATGAAGGATCATATAAAGATGATATCAGTTTCATGCATCTCTTGAACCGAAATTTATATAGAATTAAGCGCTGGTCGGACAGATCAACCTTGGAAACTTTGGTGCATGCGTTTGTTACATCTCGGTTAGATTACTGCAACAGCTTGTTGTATAAAATACCTGATAAATCTATTGCTATTCTGCAGACGGTTCAGAATAGAGCTGCAAAGTTAGTTGCTGGTAAATTGAAGTTTGACCACGTTACGCCAATTTTGAATAATTCGCACTGGTTGACGATTGATAAAAGGATAATTTTTAAAGTTGATGTGATCATGTTCAAGGCTTTAAACGGATGTCACCAGATTACATAACCAATCAATTTACTAGAAAAAGAACGGCATCTAGTTTCTGCCTTTGGTCAGATGATATGAATCTCTTGAGGGTGCCAGTGGCAAGGTTACAGATTGGATCACGTGATATTGCAATTGCCGGTCCCATATAACAGGGGTGTCTCAAGGATCTGTTCTTGGACCGATTCTTTTTAATTTGTACGTTGCAGAGATATTGGATTTACTGAATAAAGATGGTTATTATTGCCATTGGTACGCAGATGACATGCAGATTTGCGTTTCATGTTTCTCAGATGAGATGCCTACCATATTAGAGAAACTGACAAAAACTATATCTAATGTCGGCTCGTGGCTAAGTCAAAGTAGACTAAAGTTGAATCAGACTAAGACTCAGTTCATGTTGACTGGTACATGGCAACAAACGTCAGCGGTTGAATCTTCATCGATTAACATCAGCATGACTAATATAAGTTTCAGTAAAACGGTTACCAATTTGGGAATTGTGATGGACTCCCGTATGACAATGGGTCCACAAGTCAGTCTATTGGTTAAAAAATGTATGTTCCAACTACGTCAATTACGTCAAGTCACAAAATCGGTAGATAGAGATACAATGACTCTATTAGTACATGCTTTCGTCAACTCTAGATTGAATTATTGTAACAGTCTTCTATATGGCATAGCTGATAAACTGTTGTCTAAACTTCAGATGGTACTACGTATATCCGGGTTATTATTAGCTGAGTTTAGAAAACGTCTAAAGACATACTTATTTGGTAACTCCTAGTGATCTCAACCGATGATGGCTTCGCTTTCAACATGCTTCATACGAGGAAAGCGCTGATGAGAAGCAATTATAATTGGCGCTATATAAATACAATATTTGATTTGATTTGATTGATACATACATATGTACATGCATGCATACATACATGTACATACATATAAACATACATACAAACATACATATACACCAACATACATACATACATTCGTCCATTCATTTGGTCACTCGCTTGTTCATTTATTCATCCATTCACCCCACTTGGTTTGTTTCCTTTTCCTTCGTTGCTTGGTTGCTATTAAACACATATGGCTCCGGCGTTAAAATAGTGCCCCGTCTGTTTTAACCACTACGGAAGCACTCTGGGCGGTAAATTATGTCGGCATAGGGGTAAGGTGAAAGGACAGGAATGCTCGGGTTTCCGAAAAAAAGTTGGTCCACCGGGGGCGGGGCCCGTTTTGCCTCTCGCTGCTGCACCCGACTCCAGCCTAAGTTGTCCACACGTTCGACGACCGCATCGGTCTCCATGGATCCTCCCGACCTGGATTACTCTGGCATCTTTGACAAACTGATGGCTGTGTTGAAAAGTGTACCGGTGTACGACCACAGCCCTAAGCCATGAAGGAGAAGTTTGCAAAAGATTTGAACGTCTTGCTGACGGCTGTTTGCAATGACTCTGGTGACCCGGCTCAGTGGTTTAGGCTCCACTGTTTTTTTCATGTGTTAAAGAAGACTTCTAGAGGGGTTCGTCGTTTAAGCGAATATTAAACTATTGGCCTTGAAGGCGAATATTTAACTACTAGTCCTGTTACTGTGCTTTGATAGTTTCAATAATACTAAACCATATAAGCACAATCCCTATCGGTGGATCGACGCCGTATCATTTTGAAGTGAACAGAAGAACCTGTCCGCAGCTGTAAGACTTGTCTGTTCTCCGAAAGCCTAGCGAAGAGCTCTTCTGCCACTTTTGACAAATTATGTTCTATCCACCCAAAAAAAACCAACGGACAGGCGGGTCTTCCCCGCATTGGGACTAACGTCTGGTTGCGTTTCTCCCTCCGAGGTGCTGAAGGCCGTTAAATTGTTCAAAAACGGTTTTTCCGGAGGCCTGGACGACCAACGATCCCAGCATCTTAAGGATCTTTTTTTCGGCCCTTTGCCAATCGACTACACAATGAACTTTTTAACCCAATTCATTAATCTGATCCTATCTAGAGCCTGCCCATTCTCCGCCAAACGGTTCTTCTTCAAAAGCCGGCTGATAGCTTTAAATAAAAAGATGGAGGTGTCAGACCGATTGCGATCGGAAATGTTTGGAGGAGGTTAGTCAGATAATATGCCCTAGTCCTAGTTAAATATTGCAAACTCAAGACCAAATTCTACCCAACTCGTTGGATGTCGGTGTTAAGGGTGGTGCTGAGGCCGCTGTTCATGCGGTTCGAAGATTGGTCACCAACCCCAACCTCCACAACCAATGGGGGTTTTTGAAATTGGACTTCAGAAATGCCTTCAACGTCTTGGGAAAAGACTCGATGTTGGAATCTGTCAAACCTTTTTGCCCCATAATTTATAATTTTTGCCATTCTGCCTATGGCGGAGTCTATTCTCTTGGCTACCACTTTAGGGTTGTAGATTCTACAACCGAGGGGGTATAGCAGGGTGATCCCCTTGTTCCTTTGCTGTTTGCATTAACTCTTCATCTACTCTTAGAAAAATCTTCGTCCACTTTTGTTTGCGCTGATCTGGATGATATCAGTTTGCTTCTGATGGCCTAACTCTGGCTGACAGCTACAAATATTTGAGGCATAACTTCGCTGCAATGGGTATAGAGTTAAACATTAAGAAATGCAAAGTTCACTGCCAAAGTTTATTTTAGGTGCCACATGCGCTGGCTAGAATACTCAGAGTCGGTGCATCAGAATTGAATTTTGTAGGTACACCTTTGGTCGTAAGTGATTACCATATAGTTTTTTGATAAAAAACTTTTTGAACATAAATACATGTGTACGTCGTGTGAAAGGGATAAACAGCCTTTGTGGCCTTTGTAGTAAAGATGGCTGCTTCAAATCGATGGATGAAGATATGAAGAACATAATAAAAAATATATAGATAATATATCTGTAACATTGTAAGTGGTTCTGCTTATGTCAGAGCTGCAATAATAAAGACTAAAAAAAACTTGATGGAGCTTTAAATAGCTTTTCTGTGCGTAACCCAATAACATAGAGTATAGCAGAACCTGATAATGATTATGGCCTCATCAATGGCTAGTTATCAAAAAAAGGTTTTACATATATACATACATATATAAAAAGATACATACATAAAACTATCACAATATGCATCTATGTTTGTTTGATTGTTTATGTGTGTTTGAGTATATATGTGTGTATGTATATATGTTTGTATATGCATGTATGCTTAATGTGTTTATATAATTGCTTAAAATTCAAATAATAAATTTTCCAGACATTTACAAAACGTAACTATAATACTATATTTTAAGTAACTTAACTATAAACTCAGTCCATGTAAACAATAAACACAAACAAATGAACCAACAAACAAACAATCGAACATTTTTCTTTTTTTACCTTAGACTGACATCGAGCGTTTTGGGCTCCAAATTTTAATATTTTTATGCCGGATTTCCTGAAAAGATTGGTTTTAATTTATACTTTTTTGCGAGCTCTTGGCAAGAGACTGTAAAATTTCAATACTTCACATTTTTCGAGTTGCGTTCAGTGCTGCTCAAATGGAGCACTGGTCGGTTTGTTGATTGATATGTTTGTTTATTGAATGGTTTGTTGGTTGATTGACTGATTGATTAGTTAGTTTGTTGGTTAATTTGTTGATTAAATGGTTGATTGCAAGATTGACTGATTTATTGGCTTGTTGATCAACTATTGGTTGATTGACAGGCTGATTTGTGATCGAAAAATTGACGTAAACAACACCAAGTTTTGATAAACTATCTCTAAAAATTCTCAACGCTAATTCTTCATCTCGGATGTTTCATTTATAAAACAATTTCAAATATTAAAAAAACTTTTTAAATATAGAAATACACCATAATTACTTATAAAAATAATAATATCTAATTATTACTGCTGCTACCAAAAGCGGATCTAGAGAAACCATGGGCCAATACCTTCCAGATTACAAAAGATGTTGGCTCGCATGTAAAAATGTAAACATTTTCAAAATTTTTGCACCTCCCCTTTAAAGTTTTAAGATCGGCTAACTTTACGCCTTTGGTCTTTGTTGTGAATCTTTTGAAAAGCGAGGCAATTAGATGTTTTCTCTGATGTTAATAATTTTACGCTTTTTTTTGCTCTTGACTTTTCTTCTGCTTTTTATACTGTTGATCATACGATTCTCTTGAGACTGTTGGATCATTCTTTTAATGTCACTGATTCTTGTCTAACTTGGTTTTCTTCATATCCCTGTAACCGTTTTTCTTCTGTTGTTCCTAATAATGTGACTTCTAACTCCTCTATTTATACTTTGGGGTACCTCAAGGATAGATATCTTTTGGCCCTCTTCTATTTATACTCTTTATTTCTGAACTACCTCGTATTATTAATAATTTTTTTACAAGTCAATTATATGCTGACGATTTCTATATTTATACTTTTCCATCTAATCTCAATAGTGTTCTTCATAATTAATTTCTGTCTTTTTTTTTATTTTTGCTTTGTGCGACTATATATTTTAAACTAAATCCTTTTAAGTTTGAATTAATATGTTTTAATTAATCTAAACACTCTATTACTATTTTTACCTGCTTTTATAACTCTTGATGATTATCATAAGTTTTTTAGTCTAGGCTTTACCTTTGGTTCTAGTATAATTAACATTTCAACACATAATAATAGAATGTTAAACATAATGAAAGCAAGAAAAATACCAAATTCTAGAGGATATACACTCAATTTTTTAAAATGAAAACAGTAAGCCTAATATCATACATTAAGGAGGTAAACGAAACGAAATTTTTTTTGCTCCAAAAAATTAAAAAAATGTTAATGATAAGAAGCGGGCAGACCATGATAGAATTTTTATTGGAATTTATCGAGCATGACACCTGAACAAAAAATACAAATTATGTTTCTAGTTTTCTAAATAAATGATGCAAATTTGAATGTAATGGTCCGTGAATAATTCACAATTAAAGTGTTAGTTGTTAGTATTAACAAAAAACATAATTATGTTAGCAAAACATGTTAGTTGTAAATAGGTTTTTATTTACTTTCATGAAATTATTCAACTAAATTTCACATCAAATATTAATAAAACGATACATACATGGAGTACATCGTCGAATCGACGAATTGGGTCATCGGTGAGTCCTAGAATGAGCGAAAAGTCCTATCCTTGACGAACATTTTTGTACACAAGTTCCACAAATCCATACACCTGTACTATCGCCGCTTTGAGCCGTCTGTTTTTGTCGAGTCCTTTTTACAGCGAGAGCAGCTGTGCGTGCCAGTTCAAAAGCTGAAACCGCCGACTGGGTAGACCTTCTCTATTCCGAGCGTCGCAGAGCATCAACACAAAGAGCCTTGGGGTCTAGACCACATTTTTTCATATTTTTTTTAAGGCTGTTTTTGTATCTGCGTACAGGGCCACTTGCCAGTCTATTTTCCGACGCTAGCTGACCAAAAAGACCTGCTTGGGGATTCTTGTATCTGGCATATGCATAACGTGCCCTATCCAACAAAACTGAGCTTAAAGCAGCAGCGATTCCACACCCATTATACCGCACTTTGCCAGAACCACTGTGTTTGGGACCTTGTCTTCTCACCGGATACCTGCAATCATGCGCAGGCATCTCATATGAAACTGGTCAAGCCTACGAATGTGGCGACGGTAGAACGTCCAAGTTTCGCAACCGTAAAGCAGTGAAGGGAGCACAACTGCTTTGTATACCACAATTTTGGTGGCCAGAGTAATTTCCGTGCTCTTTCCAAAGACGCCCGGTCAGCATACTAAAAGCAGCACCTGCTTTTGCAAGCCTTGCTGTAATATCATCATCGATAGTTGCATTATTGGAGATATATCCGCCTAGATAAAATCTATCAACAGAATTGAGACGCGAGTAGTCCGCCATCACATGGGCTATTGCCCCCAACGAAACTGAGTAGCTCTGATGCAAGACCTCAGTTTTTTCAGATTGACTGTAAGTCCAAATCTCTTAGCTGTTTTATAAAAGCGGTTGAACAGCGTCTAAATCTCGGCCTATGTGTGTGCAACCAGTGCACAATCATCAGCAAATAATAGGTCCCGGACAACAGAGATCTGTGTCTTGGACTTGGCTTGCAATTGTCTAATATTAAAAACATCCCCATCCATACAATAGCAGATTGGTATCCCCTCACTACCGTGACAAAAAGCAACTCGGAGCATCAATGAAAAGTATGTAGCCATAAGTAAATGGAGCCATAACGCATCCTTGCTTGGTTCCGTTTGTAACATCAAAATCCTGTGACCGTTCACCATTTTCAACCACACTCGCTTTCATACCTTCATGGAAGGAACGAACAACGGCAACAAAAACAGAGGGGCAACCAATTTTTGACAAGCAGCGCCAGAGTGCTGACCTATCAACCGAATCAATTGCCTTGGTCAGGTCAACAAAAACCATATACAGTTCCCGTTGCTGCTCGCGGCATTTTTCTTGCAGTTGCCTCGCAGTGAACACCATATCGGTTGAGCTGCGTCCAGCTCTGAATCCACACTGACCCTCCGGAAAGATATCTAGATTGTTGACATGTTTTGCCAGGCGTTCAGCAATCACTCTGGCTAGTATCTTCCCAGGTATGGAAAGCAGAAAGATTCTTCTGTGGTCGTCGCAGTTTGATCGATCATCTTTTTTTTTTAAATATGTGAACGATCAGAGCGTTTTTGATTTTCTGGGGAACCGACCGCTCTGCCCACATGCGTTCAAAAAGCTCCACCAATCTCTTCCTGAGATGCAAACCACCGTGTTTGAACAGCTCTGCAGGCAACCCATCCAAACCCGGCGCCTTACCAGATGACAACCGAGATATTGTTTTATCCACTTCCTGCAAACTAAGGGGAACTTCAAGATCATAATTTGGCTCCCAATCCGGCAGTTCAGACAGGACCGAGTCATCAAAGAAGGTCTTTTGATTTAGCACCTCGTAGAAGTGCTCTCTCCAGCGAGCCAAGATGCCAGACCCATCCTTAATCAACGACGTACCATCACGTGAACGCACCGGTATACCTCCCGAGTCACGTGGACCATATACCATTTTAAGGCCTTTATAAAATAGCTTCAGACCACCACGGTTATCAGCTACCTGTTATTCATCAGCCCTCGCCGACCATCAAGACTCCTTCATTCTGCGCAGCTCCCTCTGCAAGATACTTTGTGCATTTGAGTAGGCTACCTTCTTTGCATCATTGCTTTTGTTGTTTATCCAAGCCAGATGTGTTTTGTGCACCACATCCAGCAATCTACGAGCTTCCGTATCTCGTTCATCGAACCAGTTTCGATGCCCACCCCGGCGGTGACCGAGCACATTTCCTGCAACCTTTTGTATGACCGTTTGAAAATGCGGCCAATCAAAATCAGTATTCTCAGCCATTTTGATGCATAATGCCTGGCTGAAAGACTTCTGAGTTGACCTGTCCTCCAGTTTAGCTACATCCAACCTGTCGGATTTTACCACCCTATGATGCCTTTTGACTGGCTTGACCAACAAAAATATGGACATTTTGACAAGACGATGATCCGACCATAGAGTTGTCGCTCGAATCGCTCTTGTGAGGCGAACGTTGCGTAGGTCCCTTTGTCTTTTGATGACGTAGTCGATCAGGTGCCAATGTCCCAATCGTGGGTGCATCCATGTAGTCTTTAGCTTGTTTGACTGTTGGAAGACCGTGTTTGTCACAGCCAGCTTTTGAACTGCGCAGAACTCAAGAAGCCTGATTCCATTTGAATTCACTTTACCAAGCCCATTTCTTCCCAGTACCCCACGCCATATGTCGTGATCTAAACCCACTCGTGCGTTGAAGTCACCCAGCTCAAACAACTGGTGTTCGAAAGGCGTCGCGTTCACAGCTGTGTTAAGCTGTTCATAGAAACGATTTTTTTTCCTCCGATGCTCCCAGTGTGGGCGAATAGCAGCTGCGCTTCTCCTGCCGGATGCCCCTGACAGAAAAAGGTGTATCCAGCACCTTTTTCTTCAAATTGTAAAGCATTGGATAATCTTGTCTCACTCAGTGCAGCAATATCTATTTTAAAACGAGCCAGCTCACGCGCCACGATGGCGGTCCTACGTTCATGTCGATCACTATTCTCCAACAATGTGTGCACGTTCCATGCCGCAAGGTTTAGTATTTTCTTTTTAGATTTATGTATATTTTTGCCGCAGAAAATGGATATCCAGTCAGCCGCAGTCAGCCAACAAGACCGGTTTTGTTGGGCTAGCTTTTTTTAGGACACATTTTCCAGTCCCCTTTCTAAATAGGGCTGCTTTGTCGCCAAGGCAGGGCCGAACGCCACTGTAGCCCTCAGTAACGAGCGACCATCACACCAAGGCCGCCTAGGTGCTGGATAGTGGCTAGACACTTCCAGTAGTATCCTCTACCTGTGCCCGTCGTCATTCTCCAGTCGCCGCATGGCTTTCACGCTCACAGCATCTACCGAAGACAACCTGCACAATTGAATTAGTTTAAGGTGGGAAGAGTTTTTTGAGAACTAGCCACACCCTCTCTTTCCACAAAGGCCGTTGTCAGCAAGCACAATAAATTGCGACGTGATGACTGACCAGTATGGACGCAGCAGTTTAGTCGGAACTGACACCGAGTTGATGAGCAAAACCATCCTCATAGCCAACTGCAGGTGCTAGCGATTTTCTGTTTGGGTTTACTCCCATAACCTTCCCATGAATGGGTGTGGCTGCAAAGCAGCGAAGGTTTTAAGTCAGAGTTTTTCTTTTCCTAGATGAATGACCAGCCATGGCTAACGAGCTCCACCTGCCCGGAACGTCTGGTTATGGCGCCAGTTACTCGCCTTCGCCCTCTCCTGTTAGTTTAAACAGCTTCGCCACGTGAAGGCCAGGAGTAGGATTTGATTGATCGAGGTGAGATACCTACCGCCATTTCTCATCCCCACCCCCGGCATAGTCAACCCGTTTGAAGCCAAACATACTGTCAGAATTATGAAATAATACTGACTAAAAATACTGCAAAATTTTCAACGCGAAATTTATTCACTCGATAGGGGGCATGGTGCAAGTTAATTTACTCGATAGGTGACGACGATTTTTTTTGTTTTGCAATTTAGATGACGTCATAAATTATTACAAATTATTTTAAAATTTAATTAGTAGTTTTTTTTATTAATTGGACATACCTTGGAAATTTTTATGTTTTTAAAACACCCGAAACAAAATCTAATTTTGCTTTGATAAGGAAGGGTGTGAAAAGAGAGAAAGACTGGGGGTTGACTAGTGAGGCAGCTTCGAATAATCAGTGCCTCTTCTGGTCCCTAAGAGACTTAACGCGTGATTCTATGCTCATTGGCATAGTTTCAGAAACGTCTTAAGTTCTCAAAGAGTCAGCCTTGGGTTCACCAGTTAGGCAGCTTCGAGTAATCAGTGCCTATTCTGGTATCTAAGAGACTTAATGCGTGATTCTATGCTCATTGGCATAGTTTCAGAAACGTCTTAAGTTCTCAAAAGTGGATTTGGTACGAGACTCTATGCTCATTGGCATAGTTTCGCACGCGTACTAGAGTCACAATTTGTTTCCAGTGTTGTTCTGACTCTTGTTGTCTTGTGTTGGTCGTGCGAAAGCCGATCAGACTCGACGGCCCAGTGAAAACAGGCCAGGGTTGTGCGAAAGCCGACCGACTGACTGACAGGCCCAGTGAAAACAGGCCCTTGGTCGTGCGAAAGCCGATCAGACTTGACGGCCCAGTGAAAACAGGCCAGGGTTGTGCGAAAGCCGACCGACTGACAGACAGGCCCATTGAAAACAGGCCCTTGGTCGTGCGAAAGCCGATCAGACTTGACGGCCCAGTGAAAACAGGCCAGGGTTGTGCGAAAGCCGACCGACTGACAGACAGGCCCAGTGAAAACAGGCCTTGAGTTCTGTGAAAACGAATCCGCCTCGTTGTTTTGTTTCTTGTGCTATTTGTGGACCTAGGGTTCTTTGCTGGATTCTATACTCATTGGTATAGTTTCACTCGCAGCTTGGAATTTCCATAGGCTCCGATTTTTTGTGATTCATTTTTTATTTATTTCTTGGAGTTGTATCGGCATCACCATCGGATACACACGTCGAGGTTTTACGATTAAACCGCAAGAAACATATCCTAAGTTGAAGACCCAACAAGAAGAGTTCTAATTCCTGTATTCCAGTTTGTTCATTGACATTTACATTATTATAGAGTTCATTAGTTCAATTCCTTTTATTTACTTCCGTCGATTAATAAAATTGTTATCGAATATTTTTTTTCGCGTTCGTGTGTTACTCAGTAAAATAAAATTCGAAAAAGCCCAGTGCCACACAGGACTGGTCGAACTCACGATAAAAATATACACAAAAATTATTGTCGGACCATACAAAAATTCCCTGAGAAAGATAGAGGAGGAGATTACCTCACACCACCAGTTGTTTCAATTGTTTTCATTTATAAATTTTTCGACAATTGGCGCCCAACGTGGGGCTTAGTCATAATTTGAAAACCTCCTTATCATTCATTTATTTAAAAATTTCCGACAATTGGCGCCCAACGTGGGGCTTTGTCATCCTTTAAAAATCTCCTTATCATTTTATCATTTTTAAAATCTCCGACAATTGGCGCCCAACGTGGGGCTTAGTCATCATTTGAAAACTTCCTCCTCATTCATATTATTATTTTTAAAATTTCCGACAATACATACGTATATACATACATCGTTACAACAAAATGTTTTTCAATAAAAACTTTTTTAACTTATTTTTGAAGTTCATATGCATATTTTCATCACAAAAACCATTTTTCATTATATGATTCCATACTCTTGGACCTTTACATATAATATGTGAAGAGTATATTCTTTTTGATTTGTTAGCTAAAATACTATTTATTCGTCTATCGTTAGTATTTAAGTTGAAATAGTTAGTATTTTATTTAAAAATTAGTATTTTAGTTGAAATATGCGGGAGCTTATTAGTTAGCTGCTTATAAACAAAAACGGCGATGCAGTCCAAGTTCAATTTATTGAAATCTAAATTGTTAGTTGTGAATAGTTGATGGGTGTGAACTTGTTTTCTTGACAACGTGATAATCCGGATTGCCCTTTTCATCAGTATCATGATAGGATAGGTGGTTGATTGGTATGCACTGGCCCAAACTACATTGCTGTGCGTCACGTTAGGCAAACATATGGCATTGTAAAGCACGTTTAAACATGGTTTTGGGAGGTAAAATCTGACCCTGCTGATTATTCCAATTGATCTTGCCAATTTGTTGGATATGTAATCAACATAGAACTTGAAACTCAATTTCTGGTCTAGAAATACCAGTTCATCCTGATGGATGCAACTGGTATTTCATTTTACCATCTGTTAGTGATTAAAATTAATTTTTATCATTTGTTCCTCAGATCAAATGACTAATTTTATTACAATAATTTGTTTAACTTTGTCCCATTGTTGTTGTTCATTTGGTGTATGATGCCGCAATTGTAAACTAAAACTTGATTCAAAATCTTAATCATTTTATATGATTTCCATAACTTTCAACATGTTCAACTCCGTTTTAGTTTACAAATTTTCTTGCCCTCAGTTAAATTGTAATAGTTAAAATTATAGTAACTTTTCGTTAAGGTTTTACTTTTAACGTTTAACTTCTTCTTAAGGTTTAATTTTTACTAGGTTTGTTTTATTTGGTGAATTATGCCGAAAAAATTTTTCGGATCTCAACGTCGCATGTCGCATCTCAACGTCACATTCCCGTCTGTGACGTCATCGACTTCTCCACCAGTCACGTAGTCGCTAGAAATCGGGTCGACGTGGGCGGGGGTTGATCTATTTAGGACGTGCCCGACGAATGAGCACTTGTAACGTTCTGTCAGTAGGAGGGGTAGGTTTTGGACTTTTATGATGATAACAGAAGTTAATTTGTTAATCTTTTCAGCGTGGCTCGGCTTGACCTCGATAATTTTGGCACAGCTGCCCTTGGTCAGCCATCTCTGCGGCTTATCTGAGTCCGAACACTGGTCCATAGGAGTGCACTGTTTCTAAAGAGAGCACCAACCACAGAAAGGGTCTCTAGCAGTCTCTATACATCAGTATAAGTATCAGTATAAAGAGTTTCTATACATCAGTAGTTTATGTTCCATAAACCTCTTGAAATTACTTTCAGTAATTTCAAGATTATTAATTTTGATTTTGAATGGTTTTTTATAATTCAGATATTGTATTGGTTCCAATACAATCATTTGAGTTTTTGAATTTTTAATTGCTAATCTGTTGCTGTTAAACCAAGAAACAATGTGTTTTACGTTATCGTTTGTTTTTTCAATTATTTCGTTGGTGTTTTTTCTGCTACTAAAAATGCGAAACAATTATAGTCAAAATAGTCTGTTGCATTTGGAAGGTCGTTGATGAACAAAATAAATAAAAGTGGTCCAAAAATGCTTCCTTGAGGGACACCAACTTCATTTGGCCTTAATGATGAATACTTGTTTTTACAGCAAACAAACTGTTTCCTTTCTGACAAGTAGCTTTGGAACCATTTCAAAATCACACCCCTTATGTCATAGTGTTCCAGCTTGCTTAATAAAATTGCATGATCGATGCAATCAAAAGCTTTGAAAAGATCAACCAAGTTCCAACAACAAAATGTTTTTTTCCGTGAGTATTTTGATTTTTCTTATTAGTTTTATAATAAGTTCTGTCGAGTATTTTTCACGAAAACTAAACTGGTGACTAGAAGGAATATTATTATTTTGTGAATAAGATGTGATTTTTTTATGCATTAATTTTTCTATAATTTTAGAGAAAGTTTACAAGAGTGAAATGGGTCAAAAATTGGATACATCATTGTTTCCAGTTTCTTTTTCTATTGGTATAACTTTTGAAATTTTTAAGCACTGCGGAAAGACACCTTCTATAATGGAAAAATTGATGATGTGTTCAAGAATAGTTGCTGTTGAGTTGATTGTTTCTATAATGACTTTTGTTGGAATGTTATCCAGGCCATTGGAAAATTTTGGAATCAACAATTTAGTCGTAGATACATAAACACAAAAAGATGAATTCGAAATCCTGTTGTGAAGATATAATTTCCAATTATTATTCACGTTAAAATTTTCAGGATCTTCTATCAATTGGTCGTTTGAAGTTAATTGAATATTAGAACCGTGTCTGTCTAACAGAAATATTTGAAACTTCTTTTATAATTGACCATATTTTTCTAATATCTTTTTTGTTTTGCTCAATTTGTTGAAAATAAATTGACGTTTTGACTTCGTTATCAACTTTAAACAAAATCGACTATAGTTTTTGAATTTTTCATATTTTTCCTTAACAGGATTTTTCAGAAACATTTTGTATAAATATTTTGTTTGTTAATCATTTGTTTAATATCTTTTGATACCCATGGTTTTTGTTTCATCAAAAAAAATTTTTCTTCAGTGATTGTATTAAACATGCATCATAGAAACAGAACTGAAAAATTTTGATAAACCTTTCAAAAGCCATATCAACATTTACAAACACATTTCATTTAATTTTTTTATACGATGTGCTGGAAAAGAAAACTTTTTGATCGATTTACATTCGTAATTGTAATAAAAGTTTTTTTCAATTAAAAAAAAGGTTTTTGTTGAATGCTTAGCACAATTTGACTCACGTATGCACACAAAAACTGGTAAATGATAAGACAAATCACAATCAATTGTTCCACAGAGAAAACTGTTATGATTTGTTTTTAAAAATATATTGCCGAGTAGTGACTGTTTGAGGACGGATATTCTAGTTGGTACGTGAATGGTTTGCATCAGACCATAAATGCAATCATTAACTGTTGTAGTTTTGTTTTGTCACTGGAGCCAATCGAATCAAAGCAATCAATATTGAAATCACCAGTGATGAATAGCGATTTATTTTCTGAACTTATAAAAGTTATTGCTTCTTCTAAGTGGCAAAAATATTCATCTAAGTCGTAAGATGTAGATCGATACGTTATAATTATAATTTTATTGGTAAACCATTACCCGCCATAGGCCAGACGTACGTTTCGTCTCTCACGAAACTCGTCAGTAGCCTGCCGAATAAGGTTTAAGATACTGTTGCGAGTTTCTTTAGATATAAGAAACAACAAGTAAGAATGTTTATAACGTATTTATTTGCGCAATACAAAATAAATAAAAACGTGTTCGGCAATGCAATTAGACAAAGAGAAGTTCGATCGTAAAATATCGCAAGAAGAAGGGCTGTTGTCTTTGTGTTGAAGCTATATATAGTAAGTCGTCACATGCTTAGATTAGGGATGTGCGGTTCAACAATACACAACTCAATTATTGAAACCAAGAAACTCAAATTGAGGTCTCGCGACCAATAGGTAAGAACAACATCTCGGTGTTACAAGGTTTAAGAACCCATTCAGTCGCAAGAGGTATTATTGGTAAACCATTACCCGCCATAGGCCAGACGTACGTTTCGTCTCTCACGAGACTCGTCAGTAGCCTGCCAAATAAGGTTTAAGATAACACAACTCAATTATTGTAACCAAGAAACTCAAATTGAGGTGTCGCGACCAATAGGTAAGAACACATCTCGTTGTTACAAGGTTTAAGAACCCATTCAGTCGCAAGAGGTATTATTGGTAAATCATTACCCGCCATAGGCCAGACGTACGTTTCGTCTCTCATGAGACTCGTCAGTAGCCTGCCGAATAAGGTTTAAGATAACATATATATAAAATTATAATTTTATTTTTTTCAGGTTTTTGGTGAAAAAATTATAAGACCAATGTTTCAAAATCAAGTGGAAGATTTTTGTTGATTTCATCACGAACCTTGCAGTTTAACCTATCTGACACATAGCAGCGACACCACCTCCCAATTTGTCCTTTTTATCATCTAAACCAGCACGACGCAGAATTTCGGTAGATTTGATGTGGCCCTTCAGACTAATTCGTTGCATCCATCGGAGCATTTTTGTGTTGGTTCGTTGAAGTTGTTCCAGTTTGGTTGTCATTGGCCATGTTTCTGCACCATATAACAACACCGGACGTATCACAGCTTTATAAAGTCTTGAACGTATTGTTAGTGGGATGTCACGCCGCATCAATATAGAGGCAAGGAGATGCCATTTATTCCACGCTGCACGTATGCATGCTCGAACGGCAGCTTTAGCTGTTCCAGTACAATCCAGAACATCCCCTAGATATTGAAACGATGTGACTTTCTCTATTTTAATGGCTTCAAAAACAGTGCTATTTCGAATTTGTTGTTGTGGATTGATGCAAGCAGGACAAACAAAATTGGACACTTTAGATAAAGTACCAATTATTTTTGAACAACGTTTGTGACACCACTGGTTACACTGCTGACACTTGATTGAATTGTTATCTACCCCAGCTTTACACACTGAACAGGGCCATCGTCCAGTAGCTGTGGATTAGATGGGTTCACCAGTGTTCATTGCTTTGGTTTTGCTGATGTTGATCGTCGAGTCTGATGTTCCAATCTTCAAACATCTGTGCTGCATTCTGCTCAGACGTGGCTGTTAAAACGATATCATCAGCATATACTAGATTCCAAATGTCACCAGTGCGTATCGGTTTTGTGATTTCTTCCATCACAGTTATAAATAACAGTGGACTGAGAATCGAGCCTTGGTGAACTCCAATGCCGATGTCAAATGCATCTGTGTTTCCAACCGTTGTGCTGACAAGAGTCTTAGTATTCGTATACATTTCCATCACAAGTCGAACAAGATATTCTGGAATGAGTTGTCGACGTAGACTCCATCTGATTGCTTCACGGGGAACTCGATCAAATGCTTTTTCCAGGTCTACAAAAATGTGTGATCGTTGTTGATGCTTTGCGAGGTACTTCTCTTGCAGTTGCCGAGGGATGTCGCTAGAAAACCAAATTGATAATTTCCGATTGTGATGCACGACGTTAATCTTCTCTCAATGATTTTTTCGACAATTTTCAGGGAGTGTTCTAACAGACGTATAACCCGATATGATGAACAGTTCAATGGATCACCTTTGCCTTTGTATAGCGGGACTGTCATGCTATAGTTCCATTCAGTCGGCGTTGAGCAATTTCTCCAGATTTCACGGCAAAGTTGTAGTAACGTTTGAATACCAGCAGTACCAGATGTTTTGATAATGTCATTTGTGAGTCCAGAGGGCCCTGCTGCCTTTCCATCCTTCATAGCTTTCAGAGCTTCTGTAAGCTCCTCTACAGTGATGTCTGCAATCGGATCTTCTATGGGTGGAGCGTCAAAGTTAACATTGATGGGATTTGTTTCGTTTAACAGACGGTTGAAGTATTTTCTCCATTGTAACTTGATCTCATCTTGTTCAAGAACCATTTCATTTTTGTCGTTTTTGATACATGAGGCACCAACTATGTCTTTTTTCGTACGCTTTGCTTGTTTTGCTATACGATACAGAGATTTCATTTGTTCACCTTTGCTTTTAGTGAGCCAATCCCTGCACTGATCTGTCCGAGCCAGTGCAACTTGACGTCTTGCATAGTTGTTCTTCTCACGGAAAATTTTATGGTCATCAACAGACTTTGATTTTTGCCATTGCTTGTATGCAACTTTCTTTTCAGCTATTGAGTTTTGTACACTGTCATTCCACCACCAAGTGTCACGTTCATGCTGACGTTTTGTAACAGTTTTCCTACAAACTGTAGTTACAGCGTTCATTAAAATGTACCATAGAGGGGCCATTCTGAATTTTTCTGCAACATCCCTCCGCTATTGCATACTTTCCAGGGATTCTTAGCACCCCTTGATCACTTAAGGCTTGCTGGAGACTAAGGGCCGTTGTTTTTCTTTGTGATGGCATAAGAGTATTTTGGGAAAAAGTCTTTACATCCGGACACCCATCCTGACGACAACCACCAGTTATAAGCGGTGTCAAACGTACTCTTCATATTATAAACATTTTCATCTAACCTCGGTGGATCCGCTGTAGCCATTATGATCCTTTTTTTATCATCATCAGAAATCTTCGATTTAAATTTCCAATCACGCACGATTATGTTTTTAACATAAAATTTGGATCTTTCAATTTTTTTCCATTATCGATTTCAACACAAACTCTGAAGACGGTTGATTTTAAATCATCTTTGTTTCCTCCATCTTTCAACAAGATTACTGATTGTTTGATCACAGGATAGCATGATAAAACATTTACGCCATTGATCACAGGATAGCATTATAAAACATTTACGCCATTTGTCGTTAGAAAATCAGTCACAACACTTCGATGGCATTTTTGAATGCTGCTTAGAGAAAAAACTGCTTTTTTAATTAAAGTTTTATCTGCTTTTAATGAACTGTGTTCTTCAACTCTTTTCCCGACAACTTTTTTGATAGCGTTTAACTTCGGTTTATTTTTTTAACCACGGGGCTAAATGGTAAATTTTCATATCCGATAGGTGAAGGTATTTGTTCCGACCATAAATTTTTATATTATTATTAGTTGCTGTAAATCTTTAAAAAAATTCGTTTTTGTTGCCTGCAAATTTTTTGTTAGTATCCATACACTTTGTTTTTATTTTATCTGTAGGAAAGGTTGAATTACACGTAACTTATGAATGTACGTTATTCATGGATACATTTAAAACCTTGACGTGGGCTAACAGCTACTCATTAATATTAGTTAGTGAATTAAAATTAACTGCCATTTTTTCGTTATTTAATTTAATTAAATTCAAAAATTCTTTTGTCGAGTCTCGAGGTATCCCATGGGGACTCATAAAAACATATTGCGGCATATTTTGCAATAGATCATTAGCAGTCATGTAATTAATAATTTCCACAATGTCCATTGCTTTATCCAAGTTTGAATTTCCACGGGTTTTACTCGTGATTTTTTTCTTTTTTATTCTTTTTTACACTTTCAAAATCGCTTAATAACAATTTTTTACCTTGAGTAAGTTCATCATTAGTATAAAAATCAGTAAGTACTCATAAACAAAACATTAGCTGATTAGCAAAATCATCGGCGTTATCAAAGAAATACCAGAGAATTTCAGAAATAACTAAACGTTTAGTCTCCTTTTTTTTCAATACATACATACATTTTCAACATTTTTAACAACATCTTATTGTCCCGCTTTTCAAAAGATTCACAATAAAGACCAAAGGCGTAAAGACAGCCTATCAATGCTAAAACGCCGTAAAACTACAGAAGAAAAAGAAAATTCTAGCATGTTTCTTTTTTTCAGATTAATACTGTTGCCAAAAGCTCTTACTTTCATCTACGCGGATGAAAAAAACTTTTGCTTTTTTTACGATCCTACTCTCCTACTCTTTTCCTACTTGTTATTTCAATAGTTTTAAGATTAGTTTTATCTAAGATTGATTACTGTAACTCACTTTTTATAGTCTTCTTGATTCTACACGCTATCCTCTAAGTGAAGCTTTTAACTCTGCTGCTCGTTTAGTTTTCTAACTATTCTCATATATCTCCCTACCTTGTTCTCTTATACTGGCTACTTATAAAATATAGAATAATTTTTTTAAATTTGTTTATTTATGAACAAGTTTCAATCTGAATTATTTCCTAGAGTATCATATATATTAACCAAACCTAAACTTCCCGGTCCCGGCTTACGATCGTCTTCCCGTTCTTACTTCTTCTTAACTCATGTTAAGCACTCTTATGCTAAATCTGCGTTTGCCTTTTCTGGTCTTTTTTTCTAGAACTTTCTATCTCAATCTCTAACTACTTCATCTCAAGACTTATCTTTTTAAAAAATCTGTTGAACATTGCGGAAATAGCGCTTTAAAGACCAGTTGACTGACCATTTCCGTAAATCGAACAACACACTTCATTGAATTTTAAAAGCAGATATATTTAAAATTCTATTCAAAATTGTTTAAAATGAAATGAAATAAAATCAAACGAATCATAAAAATCTTGGCGTTTTACAAAGTACCTATAAATGCAAAACGAAAACAACGAAAATCACTCGTAGATCGGGTCGTTTGGTCTCAATTTCAACATCTGACAGATTAATTTGAAATTGATTGGATTAAATTTTACGTTTCTCTGCATACAAACGTTTTCAAATTTTAGAAGTAGCTAGCCCGCGCAAGTGACTGCGTGGTATAACTGCTGGTTCGTAAGGTTCATTAAAATCAAAAATAAAATTTTAGTAGAATTCATTGTTTAATAATTATTTCTTAAATGTTATATTTAATCAATAATCTAACATAAAACATACTTTAATGTTTGGCAGCTCGAATGAACTTGATATTTGATAACGGTTGCACATGAAATCTTGTTAAATGTGAAGAAATTGAGCTATACCACTTATGAATAATGTTGACCTAGAATCATTTGCGTCGTTTTATTATATAAAATTTGCCCTTAGTATTATAATCCGCATTTGGTATTATCGTAGTTTAACTTAATTACGGCTTCGGTATTAATCCGATACATTTTAACAAAGAACGAGTGACTTTACTGTCTTCTCGCTTCCCAGTAAATCTTATTATCGGAACGTTGGCTTTGAAGCATTTACGACATTGTAATCTAGTTACACAGTTTGGGAACTCAGCATAAATTGTGTATAATGGATACGTGACGTCAATACTGCTTTTGCTTCTAGTAAATAACTGAGAAAACACTTGTGTACAATAGGTATGGGATATAGAACAGTTATTAAAACAACAAACATAATTTGTTACAAACTGATAATATTATTAGTAGCATGAACTGTAATAATTTAACTGTAAAAATAGTTTTATCAATCGTCATCGTTTTTCTGTCCAGGAAAAGCAAATTTTGTCCAATAAATAAAATTAAAAAATGCAAAAGCGAAAGGAAATAGTTTTCTCGATAACTTGTCAATATAGCGAGCCCTGGTTTTTCCGTCAGATCCTGGATTGAAGAGCGCCAGTTTAAAATTCTTTAGTGACGTAAATATATTTATTTTATTATATTGTATTGCTTATTTAATATAATGTATTGCAGATAACTTTAACGTCTTACCTTTAGAAATCCGATTTTCGATGTTAATTCTTTCTGTTAGATTAATATGTAACATTAAAACAACTTATGCATATTTTTTAAATATGTAATTACCATTTTTGCACATTTTCCGCATGAGTTTTCTTTCTAAAAAAAATTATAAAAATTTTTTTTGCTTAAATCATGATTTGACAGTAAATAGATACAAAAGTTTAACAATGTTAATATCAAAATAGATAATTTTTTTTATTAATCTTTATTATTGCAGCTTTGACATACGCAGAACCACTTACAATGTTACAGATATATATTTATATATCTTTTTTTTATTATGTTCTTCAAATCCTCATCTATTGATTTGAAGCAGCCATCTTCGCCACAAAGACTGTTTATTCTTTTCACACGACGTACACATGTGTTTATGTTTATGTTAAGCACGCATCATATACGCTGAATATATGATAGCCATTGAGATGTTTGACTCAGCGCGCATTTGAACCACTGAGCCATCTCGCCGGCCAACATGCGACAACTTACGTCGTCTACCCATTTACCAACCTCGAAAGGATAGACGGCTGGGTTGGCCGGGGGTCGGCTACCTGGATGAACCTGTAGAAACTGCAAAATTCGAACCCGGGTCGGACACGCTAACCACTCGGCCACAAGACCAATAAGAAATCATTGTTGAAATTATAGCTTGAATAACATTTTATGTTGCATATTGTTGTAACCCTTGATCTCGTAACTACCAAAACCGATGTTTTAACTTCAATTATCTCTATATTTCAAACACCAGTGTTGTAACTTCCAACGATCGTCGAGTGTTCGTTATTCCGTAGGTTCAAGATTTCCGACAGATGAACACAATTGCTTCAAGCGCAAACTTTGTTGAGCATTTATTTAAATACCAACAGTAATAGAAACAATAAACTAATCCATGTAGCTGTACATAAATCACGTTCTCTTTGCTGGAAAACCTGACTGTAAGTAAACCTGACTCTATATGGTGTATAAATAGATCAACCCACATAACTAGAATAAATATAACGGCCTTCCCTCATTTTTAACGGTCGAACAAGGAGGGGACTTGGAGGGTGATTTTTTACCGTTTGAGTCAAAAGTTACGATCGTATGTTTACTTATTTTGGAATATTACTTTTATTTAAAATGTTAAAATTTTAATTTTTTTTAATTGTTATTCAATGTGGTAATTAAATATTTTTATTTGGTATACATTTAAAAAAATAAAATCAACATTACCGAAAATAATTAAAAACTGAAAAAATTGAGGTTCTTTGCATATCCCTATTTCAACCCATGAGAAAGTGTTGTATATTGGTAAATAGGCCTCTCCTTGGGCCAACCTTTACGATCCTCTATCCAAAGATTACAAATATAGCAAAAATAACAATAATCAAATAATAAATAATATAACGCAATTCGATCATTCCCGCGGTAATAACATTACCCCACCTTATCCTGTTCGTCCCTAACATAGGCCTTACTTCTTTATTCTGATGAATAGGGGGCTAACCTGTCTAAATGAACAACCTTCATTTTTGCCCGCTGTCTCTCATGCTCTTGGATTCTGTAAACCACGTCATTTATTCTGTTAATGACTTTAAACGGGCTTTCCCAATTTCTTTGGAATTTTGGGCATCACCCTTTTTTTATCGGGGGTTGTACAGTCAGACTAGGTCGTTTTCGTTAAACCCTAGCTTCTGCCCTTGATATTGTACCAAGTTTTAGTTTTTTCTGTGCTTTCTTCCGTTCTGATTCATACGTTTTGGTAAATATTGTCCAACTTTTGGCAAAGTTCTTCGACGTATTTTGTTACCAGTTGGGAGTCTCCGGCGGAAAACTGTATTTATGTCCGCTAGAGTTTTTAACGTGGTTCAGAAAAGGACTTTGGATAGAGTTTCTGCAGTGGTGCGTACGTGGCACTCCGATATGCCATCTGGAACAGGGGTATCTGCCGATCCCTGCCTTTTTGGT